GTCAGGGCCACATGCCCAGGTTGCGGGCTCCATTCCTGGTGTGGGGCATGCAGGAGGCAGCCGATTGATGATTCTCATGACCGATGTTTTTCTTTCTCTCTCTCTTCCTCTCTGAAATCAATAAAAATATATTTTAAAAAAAGTAAGCTCAATATAAATATCATTTTCCAAAGTGATCAAGAAGACTGATATGCTCCATTTAAAAGTAAGAAGTAACTTTACATTTGTAAAAACAAAATTTACTTTTTCCAGTTACAAATTAGACATACTCACTTTATGTATTTTACAAAATAACAAAAGGTATACTAGGATAGAAGTCATTCATAATTCTACCATTCAAGAACATATTTCATTTTAAACATTTTTTTCTATGTTCATGTGCATACATTTATATTTTATAGTGTAGTTTATCTTGCAGTCCTGTTTTTGCTTAACATTTCTTTGGTTATACCAAGCTATTACATATTTATATACACTGAGTGGCCAGATTATTATGATCACCTGACGTTTGTAAGCAAATTAGCTATAATTTTGCGCTGAAGTTGCTAGAGGGCCAGACCATTATAAATAGGGAAGGAGGTTGTTTACCACGACAGTAGAAGTGGTTTTTTTCTGAAGATATGGGTAAACAATGTGATTTAACAGCCTTTGAACGTGGGATATATATAGTATATAATTCTGGTCACCAATTCCAATGTGTGAAATTGCTCCCACCCCAGTTGGATGTCCCTACAATTCAACTCAATTCTGACTTGAACTACGGGGACATAGGATCAGGTGCCACAGGTTATGGGCTCAGTCGAACAAGACTATCCCCAGTTCAGATGCTAATTGCAAGCCCAAGAATGGTGAACAAAACTAAATATATATTTACTGTAAATCACAGTATCACAACCTATAACAATGCTTCATGAACGAATCCATTAAAACTACATGTACATTGAACATATACTTTGCAAAATTAGCAAGAGCAAAAACATTGAACAAGGCAACCTCGAGTTTGAGTCTGAACAGTTCCATGAACTAGTTATTCAACTTCATGCTAGTACTAAAATTTGAATAATTTTTTCTCAATAAATTGAGAATAAAGTTAACTTCATAAGGTTGATAGGAAGAAATGACACAGAGTGCAAATAAAATGACTAGTACAGAGATGATCGATAGTGACTACTAGTATGTAACTGCAGAACCAGCTCAAAATGGTCCTATTCTGCTTAACAGGATACTGAGTTGCTTTTCAGTGACAACAGACCAAATCTGTAAGTCATGCTGCAAAAACATGCTCAGAGGAGAGAACTCTGACCTCCAGCTGCATCCAGAACCAAAGTCTCAACCCCTCATGGACCAAAGGACTAGGACATAACCAGAACTGGAACAGCAAAATCCTTTCAGAAGCCAAAGTTTCCTTGTCCAGAAAGATCCAGTGTTGACATCCCTTTACCGTAAACGGTCTAGTTCCAATGTCCTCCAATTAAAACTATCCTCCAGGACTTCCGCATACTCTCCCCCACTAACCCTTTAAAAGCCCTCACCTAGGCCAGTGAGCAAGATGGATTTAGGGCTCCATTAGATCTCCCATTTTCTCGATCAATAAACCTTTCCTTACTCCAAACACTGATGTTAGGAGTTTTTGCCTTACAAACTTGGGTTTGGTAACAATTATAATCTTGTTGATGCAAACTAAATAGATACAAAAATCATTGAGTTATGCTGGAAATTCATTTGATGGTTATTAGAATTAACTTGGCTATCGCAGTTAAGCCTTAAAACTCTATTACAAATAACCTGAGTAGAATGTTTAAAATTTAAATTATATCAACTCAATAGTTAAGTTTTATATTCATTTTGTTTGAATATAAATTGAAATTGAATTTTAAAAGTCAAGTATACATAATTTTATGGTGGTGTAGAATGATGTGGCTTCAACTTTTACCTCTATGCAATTACTATTGTTAAATACAAAACCACAGGCCCCAAATAGTGTTACTCATGCTGCAAGTCCACGATACCAAACTTAGATTCAGTACCTGATCTAATTGCAGTTTCTACCTCTCCCAGTAATGTATTCTTAATCAACCAGTCTGGAATTTTCTGGTCAAGCCCCAGTAAAGTAACTTGTCACATGGGTCCTCTCCAGCCCCAAAGAGAGAAAGGGCAACCTGCATGATGAAAACCCTTCCCAATCTTTTCTCCCCAAAGAAAATATGTTCTGGCCTCCCTCCAAATCCTCTTTTCTTTCACTAGTAGCGTCCTTGCCCCATCCTGCTTTCTATAAAAACCTTCCTGAGAGGACTGACTTCCCCTAAGGCAGCGGTTCTCAACCTGTGGGTCGTGACCCCTTTGGGGGTCGAACGACCCTTTCACAGGGGCCGCCTAAGACCATCGGAAAACACATATATAATTACATATTGTTTTTGTGACTAATCACTATGCTTTAATCATGTTCAATTTGTAACAATGAAAATACATCCTGCATATCAGATATTTACATTATGATTCTTAACAGTAGCAAAATTAGTTATGAAGTAGCAACGAAAATCATTTTATGGTTGGGGGTCATCACAACATGAGGAACTGTATTAAAGGGTCGCAGCATTAGGAAGGTTGAAGGTGACCTGGCCTGAAATAATTCATTCTTTTCACTTCTTAGTCCCATCCTTTTTCTGCCTATAAAAACCTTCCACGTGTACAAGTCCCTCGAAGCTCTTTAGTTCCTAGATGGGATGCTGCCTGATTCATGAATTGCTTAATGAAAGCCAAGTAGATCTTCAAATTTACTCAGTTGAATTTTGTTTTTTTAACACTACATAGTAGTAGTTCCTCCATCTGCGATTTCCCTTTTCGCAGTTTCAGTTACCTAGTCAACCACCATCCGAAAATATTGGAAAATTCCAGGAATAAACAATTATTTATGTTTTTAATTGCTTGCCATTCTGGGTAGAGTGATAGTCCCCTTCTAATCCACGCTGTACATGCTCCCCACTGTTTTCCCATTTCCCCCTTAGTTCTTCTCAGGTAAACAAGTGGAAATCCAGTTTTAATATGTGTGCATGGGGAATTCAAATGAGCAAGAATTCCAAAGACAGTAAGGCAAAATGAGGTATATGTCGTTTTCGGAACTACAGAAGAAGTAAGACAAATCACGGGGAAATTAAAAGACTCCATGTTTAGCCTGGCCGGCATGGCTCAGTTGTTGAACATTGAACTATGAATAAGGAGGTCACGGTTCGATTCTCGGTCAGGGCATATTTCTGGGTTGCGGGCTTGATCCCCAGTGTGGGGCGTGCAGGAGGCAGCCAATCAATGATTCTTTCTCATCATTAATGTTTCTATTTCTTTCTCCCTCTCCTTTCCTCTCTGAAATCAATAAAAATATTAAAAAAAAATAAAAATAAAAGACTTAATGTTTAGTAAACAAATGTACGTTGGACCACTTTGAAACAATGGGACACAGAGAGGACTTTGATCCAATGGGCTTTCCTAGGTTCCTCCCTATCATACTTAGTTCAGATTAAAGTATGGTCATCTATGATGATGGCCAATATTAACTTACCAAGAAAGCTACCTGTTTTATGACCTAACTAGACCCAAGAATTGATTTGACAATATCTAAAGATTATTGTCAATATCTGAAGAATATCTGGAGTCTGTCTTAGTCCGGATTCCCCGAGGTGGTAATCTGCATGCGGGGGGCTTATGAGGGATTGCTCTAAGTAGCAGCACATCCAGGGGTGCCAGAGAAATCAAATTGGGCAGAAGTTGAACTGCAAAGCAGCTGTGGGAGAGACATCAATCAATCTCAGAGCCAGTTCTGGGGCTGAATCATATCTCAATTATTTTTTTTATTTAGCTTCCATCAAAATAAATTCCTGTCATTCCCACATCTGTTTTTTTTCCCTCCACTGTCTCAACTAAATTCCTCTTCTCATTCCTCAATCTTAGTGATGTTTCTTATTCCTCAATTATTTTTCATACTGGTTTTTAGTCGGAAAAAAAATAATTTTTAACTGAAATGATACCTGCATAACTTTGGGATTGACATTAGGCAGGGGCTGTCTGAATATGAGCTTTCTGAATTCTAAAGAAAACTCAAGTTTTACATGGTTTTTAAAACATGTGACAAAAATATCAGTGATAGTATCTGTAAAAAAATGTAGAAGTACAGGCCAAAAAAAGATCTCTAGGCACTGAGTTACAAAATCAAAGAATTTTCAAGCAAGTTGAGATTACATAACCAAAACCATTCATTTTAAAGATGAGAATACAGGAATCCAGACAGATTAAGTAATATGTTCAAGGATATATTTAATTATTATTCATTTATATACTTATAAATCCTGTGTGTTATAAAATATAGCCAAGCATTTATATATAGAAGAAATAATTGGTACAAAAATCCTTTTTGCTTTTACTATTAATAATATTTGGGATGAGTGCTAAGTGAATATACATAATTATTTTTTAAAATCTAAGGTTATCACTTTTTGATACAGCAAACCAAAAGTTGAATTTTAAGTTCAGCTTATCTTGAAACTTGGTTAAAAAACAACAAAGATATGTAGATCCAATATTCATTTTTCAATTCTACCCACTTATTCAAAAGTTTTTGTTGAAAATTAGTAATTTCCTCCTTGTCTACTATTGATTAACAGTTCTTGACAAGTAGGTGTGAAGGTGCTATACTTTAAAACTTTAAAAAAGTGACTGAATCCCACTGAAGTGCCTCATTTTAAAGGGATGATTTTAAAATAAGTTAGAAAAGTCTGTCTCTAAATGTGGAGATATGAATTTTTATAGATGATATACTTATTTCAAATATAAAATTTAATCATTTCCAAACTTTTATATATATATTAATAAATATGGTTTTTGTTTAATGCATTTGTATTTATTGTTAAAATATTCTATGAACTGACAGATTAAATGTGTGAATGTTTGTAAGTATCCACTAGGTGGAGTAATTCTAATAGTCACTTATCAACATAAGGTCAGTATAGTTGGAACTTTTGTAAAAACTTTTTATTAAAGATTAATACATAGACATTTTACAAATAATTCACTCCAAAAGGATAACAGTTCTAATTGTTAGAACTAAAGCTATAAAACTCCTAAGAGAAAACAGGAGAAAATATTTGTGACCTTGGTTTAGGTAAAAATTTCTTAGGACACAAATAAGCATGAACCATAAAAGACAACATTAATAAATAAGACAATAAAAATTTTAAACTTCTGGTCTCTGAAAGATACTACTATGAAAAGTAAAAGCCACAGACTCGGAAACAGTGTTTCCAAACCCCATATCTGATTAAATCCTTGTATGCTGAATGCACAAAAGAACTCTAACCAGTCAATAATAAGGAGGCAAACAATCTAAATGGGAGAGGGGTGGACACACCACTAAAGGAGAAAGATGGATGACAAACAAGCACATGTAAAGATGCTTACCATCTGTCCATAACTGCCATAAGGAATAGATGATCTGAAATTCATTGCCTTCTATGACATGTAAAGACAGGGAAAATCCTTCTGGTGGCACCATAAAACAAGATCTGACCTGCTATTCCAAAGTACAGGTATCTGAAATGTGCCACTCCAAGGACCAGTGTCTGCACTTCCAGTTTGGGTAGCTCTGCTTGTGTTCTAAGGGCATCATAGAAGGCCTTACCTCTAACCACAGATGAGTGCCATGAGTGCCTCATCTATGCCAGGCACAAATTTGTACACTGCTCCAACCCAAGGAAAATTCCTCATTATCTACTCATCAAAGAGCATTATGCCTGGAAGTAAACAATTTTACATACTCAGTGGGAACTCCATGGGAAGATCCATATTTTAACTTCTTCTATGAAACAGCACAGAGGCTTTTGCAAAATTTTTGAATAGGTTAATAAAGACAAGAAACATTTCTTTAAGACCCATGGCCACCCCAGAAGAATTAATACAAGGGAAAACAGAAAAGAATTACTATATGCTATTTAACAAACATTTATTAAATAACCAGGTGCTGGGTAACATGTTAGACAATGGGGACAAAAAGTTGAATAAAATATTGGTCTCTGCCCTAAAGGAGTTTAGAATCTATTTCTGAGGATAAGAACAATAACATCATACATTTGTATAATACTTTACAGTTTACAAAGTATTGTCACATGTTGCAAATTCACTGCTCTATTATGGACTATAGAGACAATTAACAAAATACAAAGTGCTATGGAGGTTTAAAGGGAAGGGGTTTCTAGTAGTTGGATGGTAAGAGTGGGATGAGAAGCAAAGACTTCATGGAGAAGGAAGCAAGCATTTCAGGTGAGCTTTGAAAGGTGGACATAGTTCAATAGACAATGCTTGGAAGCATTTGTTATACTAACTTGTGCATAAAGTCAAGAGAATGTTAGAAACATTTAGGGAAAACATGAGGAGCAGAATTTGGCTGCAAGAGAGCAATAAAAGAAAATAAAGCTGGAAATAAAGTTTTAGAAATATATGCTTAATTTATCCAGATTTTGGGCTAGCAAATTAAATGAACTGTACCTTAATCTGAGACTTAATCTGAGTTTAGCTCTTTCAAAAGAATTCCTATTGCCTTAGGTGGTTTGATCAGTGGTTAGAGCGTTGGCCTACAGACTGAAGAATCTCCGGTCCCAAGTTCGATTCCAGTCAAGGACACACGCCCAGGTTGCAGGCTTGATCCCCAGTGGGGCGTGTGCAGGAGGTAGCACATCAATCATTCTCTTTCATCCTTGACGTTTCTATCGCTCCTTCTCCCTTCCTCTCTGAAATCAATAAAAACATATTAAAAAATAAAAAATAATTCCTCATTTATTTTAAGCTATTCCTGTTAGGTTTCCATCAAATTCATTTGACTTCTATGTCTTCCTCCAAAAATATTATCAAGACTACCCTTTTCCTAATCACTCACTAGTCAATTCATATACATTTCTCCTCTCCCACACAGAAGTTGTCTCTAGAATGGTGAAATTTTGACTATTCTACTTATTTCCCTCTTTGTGGTTCCTGGTTTTCTGTAATGAGAAGAAAGTGTTTAAATAATACAAACCTATTTGTGTAATAAAATCTTTACCTTAGATTAAATCTTCTAAGATTATTTTTATACCAGAGGCCTGGTGCACGAAATTCCTGCATGGGTAGGGTGCCTAGGTCGGCCGGTGATCAGGGCTGATCCTGGCCTTCTGACTGACAGCTGGGGCCTTCCTTTGCTCTGTGCCGCCCCCTGGTGGTCAGTGCATGTCATAGCAAGTGATCGAACTCTGTCTCCTGGTTGAATTCCCAAGGGGACACTTTGATTATTAGCCTTTTTTTAAAAAAAATATATTTTATTGATTTTTTACAGAGAGGAAGGGAGAGGGATAGAGAGTTAGAAACATTAATGAGAGAGAAACATCAATCAGCTGCCTCCTGCACACCCCGTACTGGGGATGTGCCCGCAACCAAGGTACATGCCCTTGACCAGAATCGAACCTGGGACCCTTAAGTCTGCAGGCCGATGCTCTATCCATTGAGCCAAACCTGTTATGGCTAGCCTTTTATATACATAGATAAAGCTTATGTTATTTTTCTATAATCTAACATCATGCATATTCTTTTGCAATTTACCAATTATTGGACATATAGATTATACCAAATTTTTGAAATGATGAATAATGAAGACCAGTTAAAATTAGATGAAAATATAACTCAGTTGGTTAGAGCATTGCCCCAGTACAGCAAAGCTGCAGGTTTGATCCCTAGTCAGGGCACATATAAGAATAACCAATGAATGCATAAATAAGTGGAACAACAAATTGATGTTTCTCTTTCTCTCTCTCCTTCCTCTCTCTCTAAAATTAAGCTTAATCTATATTTTTTCAAAAAGGTAGATGAAAATAAATTAGTATAAAACAAGAGCAATCCTGTACTGGGGGTTGGGGGAGGGGACAGTGCTGGGGATGGACAACAATTTTTAAAGATGCATAAAACATTACAAACCCACCCACATAACCAAAATGACATGTGGTCTGGCTTGCTGCCCACCAAACTACCTTTGGTCAAGTTATTTTCAGCTGAATAGTAATGTTACACTATGTGCTGAGTACTATGCTAGGCAATGATTGACAGAAAAATGAAATATCTGATCCTTATCCTCAAGGAGCTAAAAGACTAGTAAAGGCCCTAGGCAACATAAATGGCGCCCACTATCTGACCCTATCTGGGAGGAGCCAGGAAGGTATCCTTGAGGATAGTAAGCCCTGAAGTGGCTTAAGTGAGCCCTGAAGGGTGAATGAGTTACTCAAAAGGAGGACTCAGGAGAATGGGAGTGTAAAAAGATTTCCAGGCAGAAGCAACAACCTATGCAAAGATACAGTCAAGAATGAATTTGGTATGTTGAGAAAATTCTAAGTGATATATTTCAGCAAGAAAGTAGGGGCATATGTGTATGGGATTTGGAGGGGAGAACATGAGAAGTTATAGAAGTCTACAAAGTGAGTGTGCTCAATATGGTACTCTAGAGTGCAAGAAAAATTGTAATTTTTATGTTCGGTTTATTTTTTTAATTTTTCTTATGATGTAATTTATATTAGACCTAATATTAGAACAATAATATAAAATTTGCTGTATTGGGAATGATGCTCAAAATTGCTTTTCTGTTTCAGGGTATGAGTTGAATGACATTTGGAAACAACTGCTCTAGGTGAAGGGAAACTAAGGGTTTTAAGGAGGGAAGTATGGCAACAAGATCTAACCATCGGCAGCAGGGTGGAGGACGGTTGATGAGAGAGCATGCAAGCAATTCAGAGGCATTAGTCAAGATGAGAAATGATGCGGCTGGATTAGGAAGTTGCCATGTCTTTGTAAATTTCTTGGACTAAACATGAGAATGAATGAAATGCGCTCCGAAGTGGCAGGGTGGGGAAAAAAAAAAGAGTGGGGGCATGTCAAAAGGAGACAAAAAATAGCCTTTTCTTCTGATAGCCAAAGCTTGGAACAATTTAAACATAATGACAGTACTGGGTTATATAACCTAAATAATAATATAAATATAGGAGAATGTGGTACTGGAGAGTCAAATTTCCCCATCACTAGTGAGAATGAGGTTCTTGGGGTACCTAAGAGTTTTCAGAAACCTCCACGGGAGAATGGGATGTGGAAAAAGGCTTTATTTGTATAAAGTTACATTTCTTGGGTTCTGGAGAGTTTTTCCTAAATCCATAACTGTATCTAAGTTGTGAGAAAACAAAGTTTACGGTAATATTTCCTCTCATCATCTCTTGTTCCAGTCTTCCTTAGTGGTAAACATTCTGATTTTTAGCTGAGCACATGGCAACCTAGAACATACCAGAATATAACCTTCAGGTTTCCTTTAACAAGGTATTTTCTTAAGGCTGTATTCTAGTTAGCAGGAGGTAGGCAGAAATAGGAAATGCAATTTCTATAAAATGTCCTTAAAGGGAAGACATGTGCCTTTCTTTTTCCAGGTAGGAATGTGACTATGAGGGCTGGAGATTGGGCAACCATCTTGTACTGGGGGAAATGTTATGAGGATGGTGGAGCAAGAGGCTAGAAGCCCAATCCCTAATACTGTGACAGCAGCCCAAGCCTTGGACTGACTACCTGCAGCTGAACCTAATTCGATCTGATACATGGAGTCATGGAGAAGCACAGGGCCAATGTGTAGCGTGGTACAGAATGAAGTCACTGGATAAGGGCACAAAGCGATTGAAGGGTAAACTCAGTCTGCTCTCTCCTTTCCAAGCTGGGAACAGTGCTGTGTTCATCATGGGGCTGATATACTAGCGGCCCTGCGAAAGACTGAAATTTTGTCTAATCTCCAGATCAGCAGTTTCCAAAATACCACCTGCATATTAGACCGAATATTAACACAATGTGGTGGAGATGGTGTTAGGTAGTTCCCAGATGTACTTTGAAAAAGTATTTAATATTAAATTAAATGGGTTTCTATCTCATGGCAATTGGCGCTCCATTGTGCAAGTTCAGAACTCACAAGAAGCCAGGACAAGAAAGGAGTTTGAGGGGCAAGAATGAAAGTGAACAGAAACTCACCAGCATTATGTAGTGGCTGGAGTACAAGCTCTGAAGCCAGATTGCCTGTGTGCAAATCCTGGCTCTCAGGTGAGGAGCTGTGCTATTTTGAGCACGTTCCTTAACCTCAATGTGTGTCAGTTTTTGTAACAGCACTTAACACACAAGGATGCGATGAGGACTTCAGTGATTATTATAGTGCCTAACATAATGAACATTGAATGAATGCAAACTATACCACCATTCTGGGACATATGTTAGCAATGGAGCCAGAAACTCGTCCTGTATAACCTCTGCTGGCTGAAAGCTTACTCTATGCCGGGAATTATACATAGCTGCCCTTTGTTTTACTCATGGGCAAACGAAGGCTTAGAACATTTCAATGACTTTCCCAAGGCTTCACAATGAATTCTAGCCCAGCCAGAATTCAGACTGGTTGGGTTCCAAAGCCATGCTTTTTAACTTCGGTAAGTAAGGATCAAAGACACGGCCTGAAAAATCTCACAAACTTCCTTTTATATGATTTCAATTCCCCCCACTCATAACCTGTCCTGTAGTAGCAAATTCTCTCAAACTAAACAGGCCTTGTATGGGCCCAGCCAGACTGGCTCCGTCGGTGGCTTCCTCTCTCTAAGCATGTCCTCAGGTGAGGGAAACCAATCCATCAATCCAAGGTCTGTGTGGGAGAGGAACAGGGTAGACGGGAGAGATTGAGATCAACTACTGGCAGGGTGGGGACGTCTTGGGAAATGGCCAGAGCGGCAGCCTGACCTGAAAACGGGTGAGTCCCTGGGACACGTGGCAAAATGGGACCGGAAAGTGCCTCTTGGTGATTGATATGAAATAGCCGATTCCCAATGATCCAGGACTATGATTCAGTGCTTCCAAAATCTTGTTGCGTTGTAAACCACAAAATTAATCCTACAATTCAGCAACTTTATACTTTCTAAATTATCACCTACTTGATGCAAGCTTTGGGAGAATTTAGGCATTTAAATTGTTTTTTTACAGAGTCCACTTCACGCCTGTTAGGCAAGGAACCTTTGCCTTGCTTGCAAAGATGTCATTTCAACAAATTTCAAAATGTTGCATGCCGGTGCTTTGGTTTTTGCCAATTTCCAGAAAAGTAACTTTACCAATAACTTTAAATGTATCTCCTTTTCAGGACGGAAAACAACGTCCGGCAACGATACTCCATCTTTACCAAAGTTACCTTTATTCATCAAAATCAACATCTCAGGAGGGGAACACAAGTCCAAGAATCGGGTGGCAAAGTCTGCTCCGCCGATGCCGGGAGAACTGGGAGCTACGCCTATCATGTCGCCGGGGTTTGGCGAGAACGAACACGTGCCGGCGCACCTCCCAGCTGCTTTTGGGTGTCAAGCGCCCAGAGCTCCCACCCAGCCACTTCGCTGCACGTGCTGGCTCGTGCCGACGGCCCCGCAAGTCCGTCCTGAGGGCGGCTGACTCACCGGCCACGCACGCGGCTTTGGAGTCTCCGGAGGCTCCTGGGGAGGCCCGGCTACCGCTGTTGGGTCAGCCCGATGGGCGCAGCTGCGGCGCTCCAACCGGCCAAAGCTCACGCCGCCGCCGGACCGCCTCTACTACAGGTCCCGGCAGCCGCGCCTCCCGCCCGGGCCCACTTCCGGCCAGAAAGACCCGGACTCCGGCTGTGGGCCCGGTATCCCGCCGCCACCGCCCCACACGCGCCCCGTACTCTCGGGGCAGCGCAGAAGGAAGCGGTGGAAGGGCCTCTGGGAGTGGACACGCGCAGCCGCGCAAGCGCGCTCGCCCCGTGGCGCATGCGCGCAGGGGCCGGCGCGCGGCTCCGGTCTCCGGTGACGTGGCGTGCGGAGGTGGAGCCCAGGCCGGTGGCGGGAGGCGGGGGAGGAAGCGCGAGGTGAGCGCGGACGTCAGAGTGGAGAGCGGAAGGTCAGGGAGGCTCGGAGCGGAAGTGAGACCAGGGAGTCTGTCCGCCATTGTGGCCCCGAGAAGCGGAGAGCGAGAGGGGAAGACGGGCGTGCAAGCGGAAGAGACGGGCCCCTGCCACCGACTCCCGAGCGCCAGGCCCTCGTTCCGGCTTCTCTGCGAGCGGCGGCGGCGGCAGCGGCGGCGGCTGGCACGGTCCACTCGGCGGAGGGCGGCTTCCAACTGCTGTGAGTGCACGGGGAGAGGCCCAGGCGGCGGCGGCGGCTCGCGGGTGCGGTGAAGAATGTCAGCCACTAGCGTGGACCAGGTGAGGGAGCCGAGGCCGCAGGCTCGGCGAAGGCCCGAGCTCGGAGCTCCACCCTCGCGTGGGGCTTCGGCTCCTCCCCGTCGCCGCCGCTGCCGGCCCCGTAACGGTGCCCCGGGCGCAAGTTGCTGCGGTGCTGCCGCCCGGGCCGGGCGTGCGCCCTCGCCCCGAGTCTGCGGGCGGGGGAGGCGGGCGGGAGGCCGCGGGCCGCGGGGCGGGGGAGGACGGACGGCTCTTCGGGCCTCGGGACGCCTTCCGAGGGCGGCCGGCGCGGCTCAGCCCGGCGAGCTCGGGAGGCGGACCCCGAGGGGCGGGCGTAGGTGTGAAGGCGGGGGGTTGGGGGCGGGAATCGGGGGCCGTGGAGGAGACGGTGGCTGCGCTCCTACGCGGATTGTTGAAAATAAACTTGCCTTTGATAACGCCTTTGGTTAAGACACTTTCCCTCTTTTCTTTCTTTTCTTCCCCCCCCCCCCCTTCACGTTACGACACCTTTCGTCTTACTACACAGAGACCTAAAGGGCAAGGAAATAAAGGTGAGTTTGGCTAGTTGTTATCTTACTCATCGCTGTTGGTTCGATGTTACTTTTTAAACGGTGTGAGGGTCTTTCTGTTTGTTTTTGCCCCCCCCCCCTTTTTTTTTTGAAATGTAGGATTGGAGGGACATTCATCGTGGCTCAGGCAGCCCAGTGCTCTCCAAAACTTCGGTAGTTCCTTGCCTGGAGGCCAGCTTTATAGGAAGCGAAGTGGTATCAGGAACAGTGTTCTGCTTAGTTGGGTGTTTCAGTTCAGGAGATGGTGTTATGGATATAGTGACATTTAAAAAAAAAGTTTCAATCTGCCTGTGTTGTGTCACTTCTTCCCATGGGTAGATAAGTGGAGATTTTGTTTGTCATGTCTAGGTTACTTTGGAACATGCAACCCCATAGCATTCCATGTCACATCAGTGCAAATTGTACTGTTAATCATTGATTCTATTGAAGGCAGTGATGTGAGAGAGCAAAGCTGAGCAGGCATGTTCTCTCTCTCTGTGGTCCTGCTTGCAAGGTGGGACTCAATTTGATGCGTTAGAAAGGACTGACGGCGAAGGAAATGCTTGATTCTGTGATTTGCTATTTAGTTTTTAAGAAAGGAAGCACTCCGGAAAGTAAAGCGTTTTTAAAAAGTGTATTTTGTGTTTACTAATACGGAATAGCTCCGTCAGCTGACTGAACCATGGCATTGATCATGTGACGTGCGTGAGTATGGAACAATAACTGCTTTCTTGGGACAGTGCCAATTAAGTAGCATTACAGTGAATGGTATATTTATTGACGGTTTGTAATAGGACTTGAAATGAGACTCAACATGATTATGCTTCCTGTTTTTTATTTTAGGGAGCAAAGTATTACCTAGAAAATAAGATCTACAATAGTTTTTTAGATGCAATTTAATCTCTTTATGGTGCTCTTTAGATTCAGGTTATTTGCGATAGCAAATTTGAAAGGCATAGGTACTGTATACACAGCTTAGTTAATTTTCTTTGATTTGTACAATTTATTTGAGAACTTATGCATTCCAGATATATGGCACTGTATTAAGTAACAAATTTATTGTTTTGTTTTGATTAAGATAGATTTTCTTGGAGTATATACACATTTAGAAATTTTAAATTTTAGAATTTAATTTTTAGAGTACAATTTTTAATTTTAGAATTTTTTTATGTTGTGAGTATAAACCTCAGGATTTGATGTAGTTGATTTATTTTAAGTGAGTTTTAAAAAACTTATTTGTAAACTTAAAAAGAATGATTACTTGTTTTTGCTAGTCTTCCCATTAGGAGGTATGAGACTTGGAGATAGGTGAAATTTGTTCCCATTATTGCCTAGCGTAAGTTATTTTATCCTAGATCTTTGGGGAGGTGGCAGTTTGCAAGGCTATTTGAAATGTTAAGAGTTTTGTGTTAATCTGCTGTAAAGTAAGTATGGAAGTTCTGTGAAGTACTTGTTTGACAAAACAAAATAGGACATCTATTGAATAAGCCATTACTATAAATTTGATTTATAATATAGTCATTTCACTTAAGTATGTCCTAGTGACATTTTTTATATTATAGATATAAATTATATATAAATAATATTGTATATTGATCATAAATATTTTTGTTATTAACATTGTTTTAATCTATTAGTATCACTTTTGTTAGGTGTGTTTAGATACATGTACAAAGTATTTATTTGGATAGTTCTTTATGCCAAGAAATTTTCTTTATCCTTTATTGTTCAGTTCATAATCTCATTCATGGATAGAAGGATTGACTGGGTTACCAAGGAGATCTGTGTTCTAATACTGCTTGTGGCCACTGACTTGCCAAGTGAGCTTGAACACAGTGTATCTTTTAACCAGAATTTTCCCTCTATAAAAAATAATAATTCCAGTCATAAACCCTATCATATGTTGTGAGGATTGTTGTAATTACAGTAGTCCACTGCTCTAGCAGTTCTATCTGCTGAGTTTCTTTTCACCTTCGTCACCTATTTTTTATATATGTCTTTTTAATTAATTTTAGAGAGGAAGGGAGGGAGGGAGGGAGGGAGAGAGAGATAGAGAGATAGAGATAGATATCACCTCCTGTGATTTCTCCTCCAGTACACACCGGTACCTGGGATCCAGCCGGCAACCGGGGGCATATGCACAGGACAACAGTCAATCACTTGAGCCACACTGGCCAGGGCCTCAACTCATCTTATTTTTAAGATGCTGGAAGACTATTGCCTAAAATATGGCAGGAGGGAAAAATGCTACTCTCCTAAAAGTATTGGCAATCACTTAAGATGCCTTAAAATGGTAGATACTACAAGGGCAAAAATACACATATACATTACCTGTACTTTTATGCCTCTGCAGGGAGAATTACAAGGAGAAGGCACCCCCAAGTGAACTTATACAAGTAGTATATGTGTGAGAAAAACTACTCTGCCTTAGCTTACTGGATTTTCAAGCTAGTGAAATTGTTTCACAGTTATTCTGTTTATTTTTATGAAGCAGAAAGCAAAGTTATTTTTCCTGAACGTAGAGCCTCTGTATTCGAAGAACATGAGTATTAAACTTGAATTTAGAACTTATGAAAAATACATGTCCCTGAGGAGATGTCAGAGTTTTGAAAGCAGGATCCTTTTCAGTTCATATGATTTCAGAGATGCTGTGTTTCTCCTCTGAACTATTGGTAGTTGACAGCGTTGGCTTTACACCTGGCCTTAATGTCTTTGATTTTCTGCTAATTGTTTTTCTATATATCTTTAATGACATAAATGCACTAAAGGAACTAAAATTAAAATTTAAAGGGAATTTTATAGCAATGTCTGTAAGGCAAAACATGCTTTTGTGGTATAAATTCTAGGTTTATTTATTTATAAGTTTGAATCCTTTTAAATTCATCTATTGTGTACTCTGTTAAATATTTGAATTGTTTTTATTATTGGCCATGGTGAAGCGTAGTAGAAACTTAAAGATGATTATTTACCTATTGGCCCATAATTTAAAACTTAGTTTATATCGCTTTTATTTATTAACAAGAAGGATTTTTGCTTGCTGGAATCAAAGTGTATTACTCCTTTTCCTGCAGGCATCACAGAGAAAGTGTCCAATCCCATGCTCCTAGTAGCCCTCAGGCCTTACTTCTTGCTTCTTCCTATTCCTTAAGTTTATAAATAGGTAGATATATAGAAGGTAATTTATCTTTTCACTTCTCTCTCTTCCCCTCCCAACATTGTTTGGTACAACTGTAATGTCAAAGACTTAGGTTAAATTTGGCTATTTTCTAGCGATTCAGAAAAGTAGTTGAAAATGCCTTGTATTTTGGCAATATTCTTTTGTAACCTCTCCCATCTCCCCTCTGGAAATGATTGCAAAGCACTTAACTGTCATTTTAGGCTTTATTATTAATCCTCAAAACATTCCTATAAGGAGATAGAGGGTATATGGTATTGTCACTGTTTTTGTAGGTGGGAAAACATGATGCACAGATCTGTTGACTTTCCTAACTTGATGTAGTCAGACCAGAGCAAAGAATCTCCTGGCTCCTAAGGCCCATGTTCTATCTTGATTTGACTCTGCTTCATAGAGCAGAGGAAACAGGCGAAGAATCATGTAAGTCATCTGTTCTTTTTTCCCTGAAGAACTTGTACAGACTATGGAACTATCTTAGATTTCATTACTATTTAATGGCTCTCAGTCTCCAAGACATTAAATTGTGATTAAGTGATGTTCAAAAACCAAAGTCTTTAAGACAGTTGAATTTTTTAAATGTATGCTTATGAAACTCAAAGGCTGGCTTCTTATTCAGACTTTAATTGAATGCAAATTACTTGTCAGTATGCATAAAATGCTTTTAATTAAACATTTCCTTTGACATACTCCTTGAGTAGTCTTTTGAAATTTCTTAGACATTTACGCATCACTTATAAATGATTGTAGACTATTTACTTATTGTGTGCGAATGTTTTGTTCTTAGGCTCAGCCTCTTGCGAGAAAGGATAGAACAGAGGAAATAAGAATAGCAGTGTAATATGTATTTAGATAAAGTTTAAGCAGGTACTTTTTACCATATTAGCAGTGTGGATTAAATTTGTGAGAATCTAACAAATACAAGAAATAGATGTGATTTGAAATGGGTAGCTGTTTCAAATACATACTAATAGTACTGGTGTAATATTCCAAAAGTGTAGTGAAGAATTATTTTTCAAGAGGTAATACATTATGCATAGCTACCTTTGATAAAGGAGTGGTAAAGAAAAACAGGTATGTTAGAATCTCTTGGGCTGACATGATTAGCCCACCAGAAATAGCCTAAGGTTACCCACCTCTTTATTTTAATTTCTAGTGGCTATTAACCTGTTTAAAATCTGGGGAGCACCTTTAGCTCAACCTTGGCTATTGTGCTATCTTTATTACATAGCGTTAAACCACCTCAGTGGATCAAGTCAACCTTCAGGTTTCTCTTATAGTCTTTAAGGGGCAATGTATGTTTACTTTGAAGGCTTCACAATATAGCATTGTTTCTTTGAGTTGTTATTGCTACTTAGTGGGAGGCAAAGATCCAAGGATATCGCCTATTTTTGTTCCCATGTCATTGTCAACTCGCTATTATATTATAGATGATCTAAACTCAAATTAGGAAAAATTAAAATGGTATGCTGTTATAAAGGAACACCCCTTAAATCCATTGCCCCTGACATTAATTTATAGTATTTTGTGACACTATTTTTAAGTAATAAATACCCAGATATTGAGGGTGTTTTTGTTGTTTCCAACAGATTAGTCAGTATCCACCAGAAAGGTTCAACTGTTTATATCTCACTTGTGTTTCGAAAGTAGTATAGAATAGTATATTTTCATAGACAGAGCCAGCACATCAAGTTTTAGCCTGGTAAACTTCTGTGGTTCTAAAGTAAATTGTCATCCTAACTGGATCTTGTAATATTTTATGTAATATTCAAGATGATTGCATACTGTTATTGAATACTCTGATGAGGTGAGGTAGATAGGTACTATTAATATCCTCCTTGAACAGAGAAGTAGAGTTTAAAAAAACTAAGTCACTAACTAGAGATCGATCACCCAACTTCTCAGTGTTGGACTTAGGATTCAAACCCAGGATCTTCTTATCTCAAGTTTACTCAAAAGTACTCTGAGACAGTGTCAAGAGAATAACTATAGAGCCTTTATGGAAATGATCTCTGGACAAATATGGCATTATAAATTGTTCTGATTGGTTTTCTTGTGTGTTGCAAGAGTGATCATTGCTATCTTTAGTGTCTGAATTTTATTTGTATTTTCAGGTGGAAGTCTTCGTAATTTTTATTTAGAATTTTTCATAATTTATTCATTGTGATATTGCCTCAAGTTAATTTTAGTCACTTTTTTTTTAAACTGGAGACATTTTATGTAACTTTAGTTATCAAAAAAGTTCTTTATTTACCTTTATTGGACTAAGTAATAGATTTAACAAAGTTAGAGAACATTCAGAAATCTGCAACACTATTTGAAGTGGTATTTTAGATTCAAATATAGCATTAGCAAACCCTTCCAACATTTTAATTCTAACGTTTGCTTACTACAGTGTTAAAATTGGGATATTTACTTTATGGTTTTGGTAATGGAAAGTATATATATAATTTGTATTTCTCTAATCTTAGGCATATCAATATAAGATTTGTAACTTTTTGGTAGCACGTGAATATTTGTATCCAAAATTAAATTAATCTTAAGAGAGTGTTTAGGTGAAAAAAAGAAAGCTCAGGGTAACTTTTTGTGACTTGATTTGAAAAATACTGAAAATGTTAGGTTGTTCTGTGATTCTCATGATGATTACAACACTTCTAATACAAATATATTTTTTAGTTTCAGTACAAAACGGTTCCATTCATCAAAAAGATGCTGTAAATGATGATGATTTTGAGCCATACTTAAGTAGCCAGACAAATCAGGTAAGTCTGACAGTTCCATATTTAGGGAATTAAACTTATATTAGTATAAATTGATTTTTGAAATAGATATTTAGTTGAATGAGACTAACAATAACATGAATTAATCTAGTGTACCTGAATAGCAGTTGCATGTTTATGACACAGAAGAGTTCTTTAAAAATTATAGACAGCTGAAACTAGATTACGAAATATGAAGATTTGAACATGGAACATTACTAGTATATGTTGTAGTGTGTTTTTTTGAAATGTTGAAAGAATCTAATCTTTTAATGTCACTGTCATATCTTTGTAGCCAAAGCAAATTACAAGGTTTAATTAGCTAGAAATTTGTGGGAGAGGACTACTTTGTGCCTGAAATTTTTGGTTTAATGTAGTATTTTCTTCTTTATAAGACATTCCTATTTGAATTTTACTGATAGTTAAAGTTTTAACTTAACCTGATAATGGAGGAAGTAGATAAGTAAAGATAAATAAAATAATTAAGACTTTATAAACACTTGCTTCTGTATTATAGGCATGGAAAATTTCAACAAATCAAATAATTGTTAGCTTTTGAGATTCTTGTGTGTTTGAATTATTCACAAATGTGAATTTATATATAGGAATCATTTAGATGTAAACATTAAAAATCTGGTATTTGGTCTCTATACCATTTCTGTCTGCACCCATTTGTTATTAAAAATATTGCTACTAGAAATAAATTTTAAAAATAAACTTTAATTACTAATCATTTTCTTTAGGGAGAACATTCTGGAATGAAGTTGCTTTTGTTTTGCTTAAAAAGAAAGATGCATGGAAAAAATGTATCTTGAAATCTTAACCTCTAGTTTTTTAAAACTATGAAAGAACAAGGAACCAAATGTTTATTACACAACCTTATAGTTTGAAAGCAAATTTGAACAAAAAGTAGTTCTCATTTTGTGGATGTAGAATTATTTTTAGGACTGTGGAGAGCCATGGTTATATTTAATTTCTTAGTAATTTCTTTAACCACTCTCTTCTGTCTGTTGATCTGCAGTCCTAGCATATGTTGGGAGAGAATAAATAAATGAGAAAGAAGAAAAATGGGTGATAAAAATCAATGAAAGTTTGGCTACTCTTAAGAATGAAAAATTTCATTTCATATTTATGTAATCTATTTTATAATCTCAATAAATTTTACTTTCCACCTAAACGTTGTGAAAGAATATATAATTGGAAAGTAGGGGAAGATCATTTGTTGTACAATTGTAGTGCGAGTTTTAAAAGAAACATATAATATTCTATTTGGGGCCATACAGTGACCTCAGTTAATATCCCTTATGACAGTGTTTTCCAACCTTTTCGAGAAATTCTGATAATGAGGTATAGTAGATATTATCCCCACAATGTTTTTATGGTCAGATAAGTTTGAGAAGTTTATTCGGTCTAAATAATTGAATTGTGGGTTTTTTGCTACTTAATTTTATACTTGATTAAAATATAAAATTAATTTCTAATGTAAGGATATATTATGCAGATCCACTGTCTTCATTGTTCAGAGTCTAGTCTGTTTTCAAGAAATTTTAATGGATTTTAAATGTTTGAAAATTGCTACCATAAGAATCCTCGCTTTACTTGGTAACAGATATTTTATAATTCATTTGTCACAGGGGCTTAGAAGATTGGTTATTTGGCATTCCACAGAGGTGCTTCAGGTCTGCCTAGGGGAGATTGGGGGAGGGTACCCTTGATCCCACCTTTGTGGCAACCAGAGCTCTGCTTTGCTTTTTATCTGTTCTTTTATATTGGAATTTTTCATAAAATTTCACTTGTAAAAAAATCTTAAAGTGTTGGAAAATTAATTTTCAAGACTATAAATGCATTTACCATAATCCAATTTTTAAATTGTATCATAAAAGCTTCCTTGTTAATATTGGCAAAACATCTATAAAAGTCTTGTTTTTTAATGTGATGTTTACATGGAAGGTCTTATGCTTTATATTAATTAGATCATTTTAATTCATGTTATTTGAATCAATATAGTCATGTGCTATTTCAAGAGAGGTTTTAAAGTTTAATACCAGTAAGGCTGTATTTTACTTCCCTCTTGCCAATATTAGTGAATAGGTTTTCAGCAGTTATCTTTGGGTAATACTAAATAATTATGTGTAGTCAAGGTACATATTTACTTTTTTTCTTTTAATATGTTTTATTGATTTTAGAGGGAGAGAGAGAGAGGGAGATAAAAATATCAATGTGAGCGAAACATCAATCAGCTGCCTCCTGCATGCTCCCTACTGGGGATTGAGCCCCAAACCTGGGCATGTGCCCTGACCAGGAATCAAACCAGTGACCTTTTGATACATGGGATGACGCTCAACCAATAGAGCCACACTGTCTAAGGCCATATTTACCTTTTAAAGAGCACTATAATTATTGAATATTGAATACTGGGTCTACTGAAGAGAAACATGGAAAATTATCTGAAATATGCAAGTAAGTTGTAAGAATTTAACTTATAATTACTTAATTGAAATTTTAAAAACTTACAAAAATTGACCTTTTAGAACAGATGAGTGAATACTGGATTTATTGGTGAAATATATCAAATAATTATTTGCAGATTTAAAGTTCTGCAAGTATTTGTAGGTCCTTGTACTGACCTACCTGAAGTAATTATTTAATTTTTAAATTTTCAATTATAAATATGCAATATGACTTTAAAATTAAATCCCATCATTTGAATTTAATATTATAAATAAGAAAAATGAATCATTTGTCTGGAAAGGTGTTTAATATTTTTGGTTATTTTAAATTGTTGTATATATTTAGATCTAATTCACATCAAACGCAGGAATACATTACACCAGTCTATTGGTCTTCTGTGGCAGCATATTTCTTCTATTTTCTAGTGTTCATTTTATTAGGGAATAATTTTTATATTAATTTACAAGTAAATGTCTGTCCTTCTGGTTTTAAAATTTGTTCTCTGTTATATGGATATATATTACGCTTAGCCAAATTGGAGGTTTCTGTTTGGCAAGGAAGGTAGGGGTTTTCAAAATGTAGGCTTTAACCAGTAGATTGGGAGACAAGACCAACTGAAGCTTTATGAAATGTGTATTTTTGTTGCTTCTGTTAATTCTATTTTGTGTTTATTGTCTTATTTTTTAATGATTTAAAAAAATTCTTATGCTTAAAAGTTTATTTTGCTTAATTATAAAGTAGATGTGCATGTAACATTTATGTAAAATATTAGCTGTGTAGAGTTTTTTTTGGTTTTGTTTATTCTCTTTAAAGATCGCTATATTTAAGTAAAAATGAAGATCAGCCAAAAAATAGTTCTCTATAATTCCTCAGAATAATTGGACAATTATGTTGGTCAGAAAATTCATGTTTAATTGGTACTATTAAACGTGCCATATAAATTGGAAGAGTAAGTTGGAAAAATGAAGTTTGAATTTGTCTGTTTGTATATATGGGGAAATAAATTCCTAGTCATGTTTATCAGGAAAGAGATAGAGAGAACTAAGAGAATAATATAATTATCTTTGCCTGTTTGAATGATTTCCTAACTGGTAATTCTGTATTGCCACTCAGGAGTCTTAAAGTTGAAGTTTGTGCCATTGACATATTAAAGAATTTACCTCAACTTCACAACACATCCCTCCTGCCTCATCTTTGGTCAGCTTTCTCCATCTTACTTACTCAAGGAAATAGGGCTTATTATTATTTTCTGAAAATGTAAATATTTTCTTTGATAATCTCAATGTGTACGATTTGCATACACCCACACACAGAATCCTGTGTCTATTGCTTCTGAAGTCTTTTCTGATTCCCCCAATTACTTGCACCCTTCCTTCTCTTTGTGCTAGAGTGTTTGTTTTCTTTTTTTTTTTTGTACTTCCATTATAGTACTTATCAAATTGTAGGGTAAATATGTCTTCCCCCTAGACCTGTGGAGTCCTTTAGGTCAGAAACCATGTTTTCTTCTTTCTTTCTTTCTTTCTTTCTTTCTTTCTTTCTTTCTTCTTCTTTCTTTCTTCTTTCTTTCTTTCTCTCTTTCTTTCTTTCTTTCTTTCTTTCTTTCTTTCTTTCTTTCTTTCTTTCTACCTATTTATTTATTTATTTATTGCTTGCTTAAAGTATTACAACAAGTATTACATATGTCTCCTTTTTTTCCCCCCCGCCCTTGACAATCCCCTGGCCTCCCCTACCCCCCAGTGTCTTATGTCCATTGGTTATGCTTATATGCATGCATACAAGTCCTTTGCTTGATCTCTTACCCACCCCCCTCCTGCCCTCCCACCCTCCCCGGCCTTCCTGCTGTAGTTTGACAGTCTGTTCGAGGCAGCTCTGCCTCTGTATCTATTTTTGTTCATAAGTTTATAATGGTCTTTATTATCCAGAAATGAGTGACATCATGTGGTATTTGTCCTTCATTGACTGGCTTATTTCACTTAGCATAATGCTCTCCAGTTCCATCCATGCTGTTGCAAATGGTAAGAGTTCCTTCTTTTTTATAGCAGCATAGTATTCCATCGTGTAGATGTACCACAGTTTTCTAATCCATTCATCTACAGATGGGCACTTAGGCTGTTTCCAGATCTTAGCTATGGTGAATTGTGCTGCTATGAACATAGGGGTGCATATATCCTGATTGGTGAGAAACCATGTTTTTCATCTTGTTTCCAGTGACTGGCACTTTAATCAGTTACATAGTAGGCATTTATTAAATACTTACTGAATGTGAATTAGGTTATCTTCTAGAATTAAGGAATGAAATATTATGGTTGAAATGTCAAGTTAATATGACAGAGTACATTTTCTTAGGACATTTTTATTCTGCATAAATTATACTTTTTTAAAAGTACAATAATATTTTTTAAATATTTGAGGAAAATACAGGTAAACATTAAAAGTAGACTAACCTTCACTTTTTATTAATTCAGAAGTGAGTTCAGGAGATTGAAGTACCTCAGGTTCTTAAGGGATAGCAATTTTGTTTATCTCTGTGCTTACGTGCTGACATTGGTGGATAATGCCTCAAGTCTTTTTTATTGAACTTCTGAAACATTGTACAGTGTTCTCCCTTGGAAATTTGGGTGTTTATGAAGCAAAAATGAATATTAAGTTACCTTAACTAAAACAAAACACACACACACACAAAATAAAACTCAGTTATAATTGAGCTGTATTAAAATGTCTTTAGGTTAGAACAGTGATCATAAACTTTTTCTTATTGGTCAGGTTTTCTTTGAGATAATAGAAAAACAACTGACCTGCGGATTAAAGGATAATAATTATAAATGATTTCAAAATTCTAACGAAGAATTTTTAATCTTCCATATTTTAGTTTTCAAATTAAAAAATCTAAAGGTAAAGGCTTAATCTATATTTTAATATAGCACTTTGCAATTAAAGATTTAGAAAAATCTTTACAGTTGATTAGAGTAGCAGGTATCATCCCCATTTTACTAATGAAGTAACAAGGTTAGAGAAATTAATGATCAGTGAGATCACTGACATAGAAAGTGGAAGAGTACAGAATTGAGCCCAATCCTTGCCTACTACATCACATCTTGACTTTATATCTTCTTTTGTTTTTTGTTTTTGTTTTTGACTTTTTAAAATTCTCACCCGGGTATATGTTTTTATTATTTTGAGAAAGAGAAACATCAGAGTGAGAGAGAAACATCAATCGGTTGTGTTTCCCAAGCACACCCAACCAGGGATTGAAACTGCAACCCTGGATGTATGCCTTGACTGGGAATCTAACCCCCAACCTTTTGCTGTAATTGACCATACTCCAACCAAGTTAGCCACCTGGCCAGGGCCAGGACTTTATACTCTTAAGATCTGGACTAGCTTTGAAACTATACAAATGTGCTTGATGGTTAAGTTACATTTTAAAGAGGCAGGTTAAGTTGTATTAATATAACTGTTGACTACTTACTGTGTCGTAGGCACTGTATCTTTATTTCCTTTGAATAGCAGAGAAAAAAATTCAGAGTTGTATTTTGGCTACTTTCACTTAGCTGATAAGTGCCTAGGCTGGGATTAGAATTTGGTTGCCTTATGGGTTCACTTCAACCTTATATTAAACTAGAGGCCCAGTGCACTTATTCGTACACTGGTGGGGTCCATTGGTGTGTACTGCTGGGATCAGGCCACGGCAGACAGCTGGGGAGGAGCCCGGGCCCGGGCCGGGTGCCGTACCACCGCTCAGTTAGCTTGCCATCCATGAGCCTGGTATCTGGCGCCCATTGGTCAGCTGAGTGGTGCTGCTGCTGTGGGAGCGCACTGGCCACCAGGGGGCAGCTCCTGCGTTGAGTGTCTGTGCCCTGGTGGTCAGTGCGCATCATAGCTTAGGCATATATATATATATATATATATATATATATGTATATATATGGCTTCTCAGGTAGTGTTTCTAAGTTTATGCTGTGGATAAAGGAATTATGCATCTGTTATCAATTATCCAATGGTAATTATATTACTTTTTATATGTACACATTTCCCTTTCAGTTCGTTTTTTAAATATAAGGGAAATCTCAAAAGTTTTACATCACTTTATTTAAAGGTGATAGATTTTAAAGAATTTGGTAGCTCAGGCCAGTGTGGCTCAGTTAGTTGAATGTTGTCCCATGCACCCAAAGGTCTCTGTTCAGAGCATATGCCCAGGGTTGTGGACTTAACTCCCAGTGGGGGGCCTGCAGGAGGCAGCTGATTGATGTTTCTCTCCTCTCTTAACCTCTCTCTAAAATCAATAAAAACATTTAAAAAATAGTAAAATTTCACTGTTATTGATCACTTTCTAAATTATGAATAAACTATTTTAAAGCTATTAGTTTACATAAACTGAAATTATGTCTCATTATAATCACGTTTTAAGTAAAAGGTAGGAAAAAAAAAGTAACTGTTGAGTTATTTTCCATTATCAGGAAGTAGAAATTTTGTTTTCTCCACTACCAAGGTACATTCCTCTAATTGATATTCCACTTAGCTAGCAATTAGAAATTAATTTTAAATTTAGCAAAACATTAGAAAACATTTCCAATTATTATCAAAGCTCTAGTTATTCAAAATGTGTTGGCCATATCTTTTTTTTAAGACTTTAGTTTCCTACAACTTTGTTTTTACTAGAATCCAAACTGAAGCCTTGCCTTTTGAAAGGAGATTGCTTAAGTTACTTTCATAGAGCTAGGAAGAAACATCTCATTCAACTAAAACTACTGAGAGAACTGGTAAATAAATGGTTAGTATTTGATAAACTGGAGAAAACAGGCCATTTATCCAATATTAGTGGCCCGGTGCACGAAATTTTGTGCACTGAGGGGGGGCTGTGTTTCCTCAGCCCGGCCTGTGCCCTCTTGCAGTCCGGAACCCCTCAGGAGATGTCCGACTGCCAGCTTAGGACATCCCTCTCGCTTCCTTTGCTTCTTACCACCAACCTACAGCGGAGGTGGGAGAGGCTACCGCCACTGCCTCTAGGCTTGCCAGCCATGAGCCTGGCTTCTGGCTGAGCAGCGCTCCCCCCCTGTAGGAGCGCACTGACCACCACGGGGCAGCTTCTGCATTCAGCCTCTGCCCCCTGGTGGTCAGTGCGTGTCATAGCAACTGGTCATTCTGTCGTTCGGTTGATTTGCATATTAGGGTTTTATTATATAGGATTCTCAACATCTGTGGGTGATAGTAATAGCACTACAGACAGCTTTCTCTGCTTATTTAGCCTGAGCTAAATAATAGGCAGATATGACTAATGGAACACATTTTAAAGTAATTTAAACTTGTTATTTTGGCCAAGCGCTAATTTAGGGAGTAGAATAAAATCATGATTTTAAAAAATAATTGACAAGATATCTAATCAAAGCCTTCACGCCCCAATGGGTTTGGGTCTGTTCCGGCCCGAGAGGTAACAATTGGCAGACATTTGTTCCACATTAATTTAGTAATAGAGGTTGGTGACTTCCTTTTTATTAGGAATCTGTACAGGTTACAGAATTTAAAACTGAATTGACGAAGAACTGTGTGGCCCAGGGACCCAATTCAGTCCATTCTATTTCTTTGAGAAATTCCTTGAGTTAGCAGCCTTTTTCAAAAGTAAATATGTGGCACCAACCAGAGTCTATTTAACCTGCAAAGCTTAAAAAATATATTTGTTCTTTGACCTTTTGTTAGCTGACCCCTGAATTATACTTTACGTGTAGATAAATTAGGAACTTGATATGTAACTGTTGTGCAAAATTCAGCATTTGTGAAGGAGAAATAAGAATATTCAAAATAAATTATGAGTATAATTTTGCAAACACTTTATTATGAAAAATGAACTTAAAAAGTTTCTACCTGGTCTGCTTTTCATTCCCACATCCACATAACTTACTGAGTCTAGGTTTCAGTGCCAACATTCTAAATTAAAACCTTGAAACTGATTACCTCCATATTTAGCCCAGCTCTCGTACTCTTCCCTCATGGGGAATTTATTCACTTCCATGTATTATGTGTCCTTAGCTGTAGGTTTTCTTTTACAATGAGTATCTTTTTTAAATTTTTTTATTTTATTGATTTTTTACAGAGAGAGGAAGGGAGAGGGATAGAGAGCTAGAAACATCAATGAGAGACAAACATCGATCAGCTGCCTCCTGCACACTCCCCACTGGGGATGTGCCTGCAACCAAGGCACATGCCCTTGACTGGAATCAAACCCAGGACCCTTCAGTTCGCAGGCCGACGTCCTATCCACTGAGCCAAACCAGCTAGAGCTACAATGAGTATCTTATATCACAGTTTAGGCATTTAGTAAGTGTTTGGTTAAAATTACTAATAAATAGATACTCTAATAACTCTAAATTTAAAAATATTTTAAAAAATCGTTTAATCAATTATATAGATTATTCTGGCTGAACTTATGATCATTTTTATTAAGCTTTTTAGAGTTTTATATCACTTGATTCCTTGTCAATATGAATCACTGAGTAATTTTATTTTCAGCAAATAATATAGTGATTTTTGGTTATACTGTGTGTGTGTGTGTTTGTATCAACTTCATTGACTGGTAAAGTTTACTTAATTCATTGAAGAATTTTTTCATTGAAAACCATTGTTGGTGATTTTGAGCTTTTCCTCAAGAAGCTCTTATTTTTATCTTTAAATATAACAGTCAGTATTTCCACTGTTAATTTCTATAAAGATGGCACTGCTGTGGTGGTTCCAAAGATGCTCTTCATTTCTTTTACACTAATTCTGTGAATATTGTTGGAATATATTTTCAAATACAGTTATAATCTATGTATAGTTAATGAATATGTTCAACTAAATTAGTAAATAGTAACGTGTATTTCCAGTTTTGAATACAGTAAAATGTACTTTATATCAAGTGAATGAAGTCATTTTTGTTTTCTTTAAATAGTATGAATTGAGAGTTGTTTTTTTAAGTACAACCTTTACTGGAAGTAGTAATATTATGTCATAATTATTAATTTAAATACAACCTTTATTTGAAACTTAATAGTAACAATAAAGCATCTCAGTTTTTAATGATTGGCCTTTACAAAAAATAATTTAAAGTGAATTCCAGGCAGTATGATGTTTGCTTCCCATTTATATTGATGTACTTTCTTGAGTGAAAAAGCAGTGTTTTAGAATAGTCCCAAGAGACTAATGGCAAAAAAGGGGGGGGGGAGGGGTTTACATACTTTGCTCTGAGAAACTTAGAATATCTATAAAAATGAAGTGAATAATCAGCCTTCAAAATTTGACCCTTGCAAAGGGAATACTAGTTCTTCTGACTGGATATTAGCTTAATTTTTTTCACTTTGCTTATTCTACAAATTTTAAAGGTCTGTTCGAGGCTTTAAAAATCACACCTACATCAAATTGTGAAAATCTGTTGTCAGGCCTGTTTGGGGCATAAGAAACACATATTCAAAAAAAAAAATCCTTAAATATTTTATTTTTCACATTGTGTAATAACAAATTTGAGTTTTTAAAAATAGAATGTGCTACCTTGGTTTTTGGCAAATCACTGAATGATTAGTTAATATTCAAAATAAAAGTTGATGTAATTGCAGTAATTTTGGGGGGAAATTGCAGGAACTCAATTTGTAAATGAAAATTCTGATCAGGAAGGTGATGTTTATTGTGTAAAATTTGGAAAATCTAATAAAAAGAAAAGAGGCACCTGTTATCCTATCATTAAGAAACCGTAGAAAGAGCGGGGGGGTGGGGGGTGGGGGTAGAGGGTAACGTGGGGACAAGGACACATATGTAATATCTTAATCAACAAAAAATATATTAAAAAAAAAAAAAGAAACCGTAGAAAGGATTTGGTTTGGTTTCTTTTTAAAATGAGTGAGGAAAAACAAAAACAAATTTGGATCATGCTATATGTATAATCATGAATCTTTGCTTCTCAGAGTGTATTTCTCTAATTTTTTTCTTAATAAAATTTCGAAATTTAACTGCTGAACTGGATTCTGTAATATAGATAAGCTATAATTTCTCTATTATTGGCATAGTTTTCAGGCTTTTTAAATTCTTGGTTATACATGTTTGTATACATCAGTTGCTTAAAATAAATCTGACTATAAATGATGAATTTGTGTGGGCAAAATTTAGAAATCAATCTTTTGTAGAAAGTACAGTATTTTTAAGTGGTGGTAGAGGACCAGATTCTTTAAACAAAAATAATTATCTTCCACCCCTAGCTCTGTAACAAAAAACGTGGAATTTTATAAACATTTTAAAGTAAAAATACTCACTAGCAAATTTTTCTGTTGATAAAATTAGGTTTGAAACTTTAATTTTGCTTATTTGGAACAGGTGGATTTGTTTTCATTTACTTAAATTTATTTGATTTTCATCTTTCAGATCCACCCCCCTTCAGAGGAACTTTGCTCTTGATTATGATCTTTTGTTTTCCAGAGTAACAGCTATCCACCAATGTCAGATCCATACATGCCTAGTTACTATGCTCCATCCATTGGATTTCCATATTCTCTTGGGGAAGCAGCATGGTCCACAGCTGGAGACCAACCTATGCCATATCTGACAACTTATGGACAAATGAGTAATGGAGAACATCATTACATACCAGATGGTGTGTTTAGTCAACCTGGGGCATTAGGAAATACCCCTCCATTTCTTGGTCAGCATGGATTTAACTTTTTTCCTGGTAATGCTGATTTCTCTACGTGGGGGACAAGTGGATCTCAGGGACAATCAACGCAAAGTTCTGCTTATAGTAGCAGTTATGGCTATCCACCTAGTTCTCTTGGGAGAGCTATTACTGATGGACAGGCTGGATTTGGCAATGATACTTTGAGTAAGGTGCCTGGCATTAGCAGTATTGAGCAAGGCATGACGGGACTGAAAATTGGTGGTGACCTGACAGCTGCAGTGACAAAAACTGTAGGTACAGCCTTGAGCAGCAGTGGTATGACTAGCATTGCAACCAATAGTATGCCCCCAGTTAGCAGTGCAGCACCTAAACCAACCTCCTGGGCCGCCATTGCCAGAAAGCCTGCCAAACCTCAACCGAAACTTAAACCCAAGGGCAATGTAGGAATTGGAGGTTCTGCTGTGCCACCACCTCCTATAAAACACAACATGAATATTGGAACTTGGGATGAAAAGGGGTCCGTGGTAAAGGCACCACCAACCCAACCAGTTCTGCCTCCTCAAACTATAATTCAGCAGCCTCAGCCATTAATTCAACCACCACCATTGGTGCAAAGCCAACTGCCTCAACAGCAGCCTCAGCCACCACAACCACAGCAGCAACAAGGACCTCAGCCACAGGCTCAGCCTCACCAAGTGCAGCCCCAACAGCAACAACTGCAGAACCGTTGGGTAGCTCCTCGGAATAGGGGAGGTGGCTTCAACCAGAACAATGGAGTGGGTGGTGAAAACTTTGGTTTAGGTGTTGTTCCTGTCAGTGCTTCACCTTCTAGTGTAGAAGTGCATCCAGTGCTGGAAAAGCTAAAGGCCATAAACAACTATAATCCCAAAGACTTTGACTGGAACCTGAAAAATGGACGTGTGTTTATAATTAAAAGCTATTCTGAGGATGACATTCACCGTTCCATTAAGTACTCTATCTGGTGTAGTACTGAGCATGGTAATAAGCGTTTGGATGCAGCTTACCGTTCCCTGAATGGGAAAGGCCCACTCTATTTACTCTTCAGTGTGAATGGCAGTGGACATTTTTGTGGAGTGGCTGAAATGAAGTCTGTTGTGGACTATAATGCATATGCTGGTGTCTGGTCTCAGGATAAGTGGAAGGGCAAATTTGAAGTTAAGTGGATCTTTGTCAAAGATGTTCCCAATAACCAATTACGGCATATTCGCTTAGAAAATAATGACAACAAACCAGTTACCAATTCAAGGGACACTCAAGAGGTACCCCTAGAAAAAGCTAAGCAAGTGCTTAAAATAATTGCTACCTTCAAGCATACCACCTCAATCTTTGATGACTTTGCACATTATGAAAAGCGTCAAGAAGAGGAGGAAGCCATGCGTAGGGTAAGAATACAGTAATTTTTGTGTGTAGGGTCTTTTTATTGGGGTACTGTGCATGGATGGGTATTTAATGCCTTTTAATATTACATTTTGAGTTTAAGAACTTTACTCTGAAGGAAAACAATCACTTAGTTTAAGAAACAACTTTATAAAGATCCTTGAAGACCTGTGATGCCATATTTGAAACATTTCTCCTTTCCAAGGGTAATCCTTACTCTCTGAATTTGCTTTTTGCCTATTCTTCATACTCCTCAGGTAATAAAGGTTATTGAGTCATGTTTATCAAAGCTCAGTGAATTCTGCGTTTATAATTAATCAGGCTTGAGAACTAGCAAGGGACTCTAATCTTAAACATTATTTTTATGGGAATAACACGTCTGGAGTTTGAACCAAACAGTTTTTAAATAAATGTTTGAACATTATTTATTTTGTATTTATGAGAAATAAAATATTTTTCCCTAAAACTCCTGAAGCTTTTTTATAATTATGCAATTAGAGCACTTGTACAAAATGTAGACGAATTGGACTTTAGGAAGGTAGCTAAGAGTTGGGAAGACATGGGGCTTTAGATGTAGATTGCAGAATTTTATTTCTTCAGTTATTTACCTTTGTTAAGACTCTAAAGGAGATTTCTCAAGAAGTTACTCATTGTTCATGTTGCATCATATTGTCCAGGTTTGATCAGCGGGCACATAGCAAGATAGGCTGGGGAATGTTTTCTGTTTTAGACTACAAAAGAAAATTGGTGGGGGGGAGGGTGCTAATTTTAGGAGAAAAGGGATGGTTGGAGTAAGAAACTAACAGATTTTTCCATAGACAGTACATTTAAAGTTATTTTCAAATAAGGGATAAAGTTAGAAGCTTCTCCAATAAATTATGATGATTGCTATGGAAAGCTTGCATGTAGAAATTGAGATAAAACAGGAACTAAAGTTGATTCCTATCTGTGTGTAAACATAAGCATCTTGTGGTTACTTGATATTTGCAAAAGAGGGAACTATTTCAGTTAACATTTCTTACTGGTGAAGCGTGTGAAATGATCCTAGAGCAGTAGTTCCCATACATTTTAGGACACATACTTATCAATTAGGGTGCTTCTTGAAAATGCAGACTATTGAGACCACCCCAGGCAATCTGATATATTTGATAAGGGACCTGGTAGAGTATATTTTTAATCAAGCACCTCGATAATTTTGCTGCTAGTGATTCTTGAACTGAATTGTTAGAAACTTTGCTTCGGAATAGTACAAATGGCTATTTAATATTTAAGGCCCTGTTTAACCGTTTGTAACTGCCCTTACAAATAATGGATCAGGAGAAATGATTTGGGGTATGAAAGGCGGGATGCAAGTGAAGATTTTGTTTTAGGATGTGCTGATTTTAAGGTGCTTTTGAGAAATATAGTGAAATCTCTTTGATTAGACAGTTAGATGTGGGAGTCACAAATGGGGACTTTCTTGTTCTTAAACAGATAATTCCACGGAAGTGGGATGAGATTACTCCGGGAGAAAGATGCAAGGCAGGGAAATAGTTATCAACTGTTCTTTCTACTGCTAAGGAGAGGCCACCCTTTTCTGTCTTTACACAATTATTCTCTACCCAGTCTGAAATTTTAATTCTAGGGTGTTTTTTAATTATTATATAACTATCTCAGGAATTATGACCATTACATACTGTTTTGTAGTAATACATTCAACAGTTATTTGAACTTTAAAATTTTACATTTAAATTGTTTTATTGTTTATAGCCAGTTTTTTTATGTCTCACTCACCTTTGACATATTTGCTTTGGATTTTATTTAGCTTATTGTATTATTTTTTAGGAAGAGTAGCTGATAATATTTTTATTAAGCCCTTCTAAATGCAAGAAAATGCCTTTGACCATAATAGGTGAACAACAGTTTACCTGGATATAGAATATTTGAGTCACAGTCTTTTCTTTCAGGCTTCATTTTATAGCTTTATATTTCTATTACATATAAAAGATGTCTGAAGCCAGCCTAAATTTCCTTTCTTTGGAAATAACTATTTCTGTGTGCATAAAAGATTTTTTTTTTTATTCTTGCAATATGGACCTCTATGTAGAATGTGTCCAGTATGGGTCTCTTATTATAATTTTTCTTAATTCTTTGTCCAAAGGCCAGGTTTTCATTTTCTTTTTTCTAATAATGTCAAAGAATGTTGAATCTTTGAACATTCTTTCAGTGCCATTGGTTCTTACCATTTTTTTTCCCCCCTGCATTTGGAGAATTTCTCAAATTTGAATTTTCATGAAATTGATTTGATTTGTTTTGTGTTGATCTTGTGACTTGTGAGGTTCTGCATTCTTCAGTGACATGTTTGCTTATGTTATCACATCTAGCTCCCATTTATTTCAGTTGATTGATTGCTTACCTGAATTTTTTGATGCCTAGTTGATTTAATTTTTGGGGTCACAAAGATGACTGTTCATAGCCTATCTTTGCTTCCTGTAATAATTATTTTTAGGAACTTCTTCCTCTTCCATATCCTTTTTAACTTGTTTCTTTTATTAGATATACATACAGTAAAATTGTAAATTCCCCTTTGCTGCTGCTCTCTGGTTAAGCCCTCTCCTTTTTAACCCTAATTCACTGATCTGTTCTGTCTCTAGAAGCATTTTCCATAATGTCAGAAATTACAGAGTGTAATCTTTTAAGACTGGCTTCTTTCACTCAGCATGCTATCTTTGCAGTTTGTTGTTTTGTATACCAATTCTTTGTTCTTTTTAATTATTACTAAGTACTATTTCATTGTATGGATTTAACAGTTTATCCATCTGTTTTTTCTTTGAAGGACATCTGATTATTTCCAGTATTTGAAGAATGTAAATAAAACTTCTATAAATATTTGTATACAAATCCTTTAAAAACATTTTTAAATCATACAGTAAAATTCACCTTTTTGGTGTGGACAGTTCTAAAAATTTTAACACATTTGTAGATTTGTGTAACCACTACAATCAGGATACAGAATAATTTTATTATCTCTCCAAAACTATCTTGTACTATTCCTTTGTATTTATATTCTTCACCCACATCTAACCTCTGGCAGCCATTGTCTGGATTCATTATAGTTTTGCAAGTATCTTTTTTTGCAATATAGTTTGACTCTTTTTGGCTTTTTTTCCCTGATCATCCACGTCAGGTATTTGTCCCTAAATAGTATGCTTTTTGTTGTTGGTGGTCTCGGTGTTTCTTTGTTTTGTACTTTAATGCTTGGTGTTAGTTGCATATTTTCTTCCCATTGCAGATGTGGAAATGGGAAAGGCATGGTGAAGTTGACTTTACCAATTAAGCAATTCATCAGCCTGTGAAGAGTAAGAAGGTAGAGCCAGTACAGTGGATATGCAGGTGAAATTTTTGAAACCACCATGTCAGGAAAGTTTTTCCTGCATATTAACCGTTTAACACTTGGGGTATCATGTGTCCTTGCCCAGTTTTCTTCCTGGTGCTATTACCTCTTGTCGAGGCAGAATTTGTAGATTTTCTCTTAGCTGTACTTGTACTTGCACTTTGGCTCTCCAGCAAAACTGCTTTCAAAATATTCTTGATATCCTAGTGATGAAGGAAGGTTGTATATATATTCTAGGTCCTTCTGTGCTCTATCCAAAACGACAAATTAGTAGTGTTTTGGTAGGATTCTCTTTACTTGTTACACTTTTTAAATTTTTAAATAAAAGTAGTTGCAAGTCATTAGTTAAACTTCTCCTTTAATGTGACCCCCTCTTTCTTGTATTTAGCTGAAATTCCTCAAAGCGTATGGTAATGTGAAGATTACATTTTCCCACGTGCATGTCCTTCAGACCACCGGTAAAGAAGGATTTCTTAAGACACAAAACACTAATTATAAAAGAAAAACTGATGAAATTTGACTATATTAAAATCTGCTCATGAAAAGATGATTTAAAGAAAGTAAAAAGACATGTTAGGAGCTGGGAGTAATTTGAACATAACTGACCAAAGATTAGTATCAAGAATAAAAAATATCTATGAGTCAATTTAAGAAAAAGATAAATAATCTAGTAGAAAAGTGGGCAAAAGATGTATGGATAGTCCTTTCATGGGAGGAAACAATAATGGTTAATAAGTACATAAAAAGATATTCAGTCTTAATAATAATTAGGGAAATGATAATGAGAAAATATTTTATATCCATTTATTTGGCAAAATTAAGAAACTTAATAGTATCAAGTATTGGAAGACTGCAGATCAACAAAATCTCATAAAATTGCAGATGAGAACCTTAAATTGATAAAGCCATGTGGAGAAGCAGTTTTGTAAGGTATATATTGCATATACCTTATAGTTCAGCAGTTTTCCTTCAGGATAGATACATAAGAGAAACTTCCCACATACCCCAGAAGACATACAACAATGTTCTTAGTGGAAACAAGTGATAATAGTAAAAACAAAACAAAAAAACCAAGGACTAACCCAAATGTCCATCAGCAGGAATATGGCCAAAACACATTGGTGCAACAGTAATATGGTGGAATGATTGAACTATATATATATCTATCTATCTACTTGCAACAATATGAGGGACTCTCTTTTTTTCTTCATCTTTTTATTTAAAAATAATTTGTAATTGATTTGGAAATATAAGAATAGTATGTAGAACATTGAGATTGACCTGCTAACATTCTTTCCTGTTTGCTTTGTTGTTGTTTTTAACAATTTCAGAGTAATTTCCATATATCGTGTTTCTTTCCCCAAAAAAGTATAGTGTATATTTCCTAAGAATAAGGATATTCTCTAATATAATTGCAGTATTCTGTTAGTTGATCCATAGTATTTTTTAAGCCTTTTTTTTTTTTTTCTTTAGTGTAAGATCAGGCAAAGGTCTTTTAGCCAAAACAGTTTTGACAAAGAACGATTTTGGAAGGCTTATATTAATCTGACTTCAGATCTTTGCCTTCCCCAAATTCGTGATTATTTTTTCTTTGCTTTTTCATAGAAGTTTTGTGCTTTAAAATTACACATATATGTCTATAGTGACTGTAGCTTTCTCACATTTCTCTTCTTATTGTGCTTACGTTTTTCTTTAAATTCTTGAGTCTACTTGTGATAGACAAGGACTTCCAAAAGCTAATTCTATTTTGTCATTGCTGGATCTTTTTTATGGTTTCTAAAAATTTTTATTCTGGTTATTTTGGCAATGGAGGAATTCCCCAGCTTGCCTTGCCAGGAAAGCACCCTATGGAGGAGCCGACCAGACATCCTGTCTTGTTATAGAAAACTTGCAAGTCAGGCTATTTTAGAATGAGGGGTATTGGTGAAACTTAAAACAACAGGAGAACTCCATACCAGTTATTGTAGTATTTGTATAGTTCTTCATTCTTAAATTTGAACACAGAACTTTGTTATGTTTGATAAAAGAAGATATCAAGCTTGTTGAAAGAACAACCAGAACAAACCCATTAAGAGAAATATTTAATACAGGGAGCAAAAGGTAATTTAAAATATAAACAACATTTGATTGGTTGTTAGGGAGGAGTTATGTATAAAAAGAAAAGAAAGCCAGAAAATGTTACTGGAATAAGAAATGTGATTCTCATAATAAAAAAGCAGTGAGCAAGCAGATTAATAAAATGTTCATGTATTAGGTCCAGTTGATGATCTGGAATTTTCAATCAAAGAAATTTCCAAATGTGGAGCAATAGAGGTGAAAATATAAAGTGTGAACGATGTGGTGGAAAAAGGGGTTCACTATCTCTCAGTGTTTAAAAGAGTACAGGAAAAAACAATGGGAAGAATGATTAAAGAAAAGTATCCATACTCAAAGATATGTGTTTTCAGAAGTATGGACTCACTGAGTGACCAACAGGATAATTTAAAAGAAAAAGAAAAAAAAAAAAAAAGACCGGATAAAGATATTTTAAAAGCTTTCCAAGCAAGAACAAATTACTAAGAAAGGAGATTATCATGGGAATTCTAATCTACAGCTCTGGATTCTCACATGCAAAATCTATTTGGGAGTAGAGAGGAATGGGGTTTATTGTTTTTAAAGATGAGTGTTGAATTCTGTCAGTGAGGGGGAGTGCAAAGTAAAGATTTCAGGTATAAAAGAGCTTAGCCAAATTCTCTTTATGAGAAAGTTACTTGAAGAGCTATTTCAGCAGAGTGAAAAAAGAATTCAAGAAAGATAATAAGACCTGGTAGCTGGTTATACTAGAACAACACCTTTCTCTCAAAAGCGACCCTGTAGGCATTCTGAATAAGACTGGTCTTCATTGTATATAATGTGTATCAGGGCTGTATGCATTTCTCCACTTTCTGTTAAATGGCATGATGGTCTTCGAAGCCCGACAAATGAAATGAGCCCTCACTTGGAAGCCACTGACCTTGGAGATGGGTGTGAAGGAAATTAAAAAAAAAATCTAGCTAATGTTTGTTCTCATTGGACCATAAGCTGGCTCCATGAGAGCAAAACTTCTTTGTTCTCTGCTCAGGCCCTAGCACCTAATAGTTGGCACATAGTGTTTAATAAACATTTGTTAAATGAGCAAATGCTTAAAAAAATTTTTTTTGAAAGTTTGAATGTCATGGAATTTTTTTTTTTATTGGTTTAATTATTGTACTTTATTTGGGAACTAAGTACTTAATCATTCAAGTTATATAATGTTGCCTATTGGTTTTTCCATTTGTAGAAATGTATAATCTCTATATATAAAAAGCCAGTGACCGGAATGCCGGATGACTGGTTGCTATGATGCCCACTGTGGCCAGCAAACCAGCCCAATTGTGGGGGGTGGGGCCCATGATCGCCCCCCCACCCCCTATGGGCCCCCACCACCCTGATCGGTTTGCAGCCCCTCCCTCTGCCCAGCCCCACCCCAGATTGGCCACCCCACCCTGATCAGGGGCAGGGCCGGCCAACCGCCTGTGGTCCCTCCCCCTGGATGGCCCCGCCCCTGATCAGCCCCCTTACATCAATTGGGGGCGGGGCTGGCCAGCCAACCACCCATGGCCCCTCCCCCACCCGCTGGCCCTTGATCAGCCCTGCCTACCCCATTCGGGTTCAGGGCTGGCCCACCGCTGCCAGCCTCAACCCGGTCAGCCCCCACCACCCTGATTGGCCTGCTGCCCCTCCCCACAGCCAGCTCCGCCCCCAATCGGTCCCCTTCCCCCTCACACACACACCAATCGAGGGTGGGGCTGGCTGGCCAACCTCCCATGGCCCATTCCTCCCCTGGCCACTGATCCCCAATCGCCCCCTCCCCCACCCCATTTGGGGGTGGGGCCAGCTGGCCCAACACACACCCTCCCCACGGCCAGCCCCACCCCCAGTCGGGGGCGGGGCCCACCGGCCAATCGCCACGGCTCCTCCCCACAGCCAGCTCAGCCCTGATAGGCCCCTATCAGGGCAAGCCAGCCAGCCAGTCAGCCGGCTAGCTTCCCACTGTCTCCTCTTCCCAGCAGGACTGGCCCTGATCCGCGCAGATGGGGGCCGGGCTGGCCGGACCCCACCCATGCACAAATTTGTGCACTGGGCCTCTAGTAATATTAATAGAGCTGACTTTCCTACATTTATATAATGTATGTGAGGCCCCTACAGGTAGTGTGGAGCCAGCCTGTCCCTGTACTTTGTAAATATTTTCAAGTTGTAATGATATAAAGCATAGATAAGTTGTTTTTCCCCATCCATTCAGTTCTAGAGAAATCCTTTGTGCCAGAAAGGGTCAATGGAACCAAAAACAAATTTCCAAAGTCAGAATATTGAAGTCTCAGTTCTACACCTTCTCCATGTTAGAAATCCCCCCCCTTTTTTTTTAAATGAATAACACAAAGTTCCTTAATATGACCACTGCTCCAACATGCAATACTCAAAACCACATTGCCATGGCAATCCCTTGTGTTCTTTTAGCTTTCCATTTTGATTTCCTATTAATTCTCAGGCAAGCTTTCACTCCCTCATGATGGTCTCTGTTTGGTGATGTATGCTTTAGCTGACTCCTCAATATTGCACATCAGTCCAGTTCATATCCCTGTTCGTGGAGCAGCTTTGGCAGCTTCACTGTTTTATTTCTGACCCGGTCAGAAGAAAGCAGAGGCAAGGCTTATGGGACTGTGTTTATAGTGTCTACAGTAGTGTATAGTAATGTGGTAGGCCTTCACATTCAGTCACCACTCCCAGAGCAATTTTCTGTCCTGCATGCTCCTGCCCTATACCATTTTTTATCTTTTATACCATATATTTACTGTATTTTTTTGTTTAGTTATGTTTAGATAAATGCATACCATCTAATCTAATAAAAAAGAAACATGCAAATTGACTGCACCTCCACTATGCCCAAGTCGCTCACCAGCCAATCAGAGCGACTATATGCAAATTAACCCAACCAAGATGG